GAAAAGGCTTCACCTTTGAAAAGCCATAGATAAAAATAAGCAAGTTAAATAGAACTAAAAATTAGTAGCCAAGGAAGCTAGTGGTTTTTCCTATTATTAAGAGATGCTAATAGCTGTTAACTTAATTTGGCTTGTTACATGCAACCTAACCAATGCTTCATTGCTTGTAAGTTAGCTTGTTTCTCAAACTAAGGAAAAATATTAATTCTCAACCCTTGTAGCAGCTTCAGTATCTGATTTCTTTTTTTTTTCTTTATTTACTTTCTCTATATTATCACAAACATGTAGGTATTTCCACTCTCCCACTGTCACCAAATAAAAAACAAGCTCCACTTTTAACATCACCTTGGCAATGCCTGTATTGCACTAAAAATGCAGATATTTGGCATTTCAGCCTGAAAACCAAGTGGACTACCACCAGCTCCTAGCCACGACTGAAATATCTTCATTTTTCCGTTATTTAGGGTATAATCTTGGCAAAAAGCAGGTATTTCTCACTTTTTGAGCAAATACCAACACTTTCCCTATTTTTCTACCGTAGTCCCTATTTCTGAATCTTTGCATTGATGTATCTTTAAAAGCAGACTATTTGAGGAAAGGTTCCTCCCAGTCCCTACTGACTTGCAGAAAGGATAAAGAACACTTGTTTATTTCCTGGCTTGTTTTGTCATTGCACTTCTCCACTTCTGTCTCCCACCATACAGTGCACTGGTGATTGTGGTGGAGCTGTGTATTGTTAATGGTGTGCAGTTCTCCTGGCAGGCTGGTTGCACAGAGGGGAACGGTGACTCCACCAACCTACCCTATCCCCAGGGATTTTGAGTCATTCATTGCAGTAAATAGTGTGTGCTTTGGCTTGTTGTTTAGGCTATTCTGGGCAATACTGTTATGAAATAGCCACAGATTATCACAATCTTTTCTGTTCTTCAGAGTCCTGAGAACAGGCAACAGGCTGAAATACTTGCCTGCATTCTAGCTGCACACTGGGAAGTGTAACTTCGATGATGAAAGGATGATTTGTAGAATTATGGAGACATTGTATTTGATTCATGTGTAAGAAGTTACCAATACAGCTGCTGGGTTAAGAGATGCCAGGGTCCCCGCCTCACTCTCCAAAAATAAATATAAAAACGCCAGCATTATTCAAGGGGAAGGTTCCTGTTGTTGCAGGACACATGGGGTTGTTTGGAAATGTGCAGTTCATAGAATCATAGAATGGTTTGGGTTGGAAGGGCCCTTGAAGATCATCTAGTTCCAACACCCCTGCCATCAGCAGGGACACCTTCCACTAGACCAGGTTGCTCAAAGCCTCATCCAGCCTGGCCTTAAACGCTTCCAGGGAGGGGACATCCACAGCTTCTCTGGGCAACCTGTTCCAGTGTCTGACCAC